CGGTTTCCGGCGCGAGGAGAGTAATAATGATTAATGTCACGCCCGAGATGTCGATGCGCGGGAGATTAATGACCGATCGGGAGACGCAAGGAGACAAATTTAATTGGCGGCCGGTCCCTTCGAGACGAAAATGCGAGGCGCATACGAGATATGACGCAACGATGTCCTGGCGTTGTAATTGAAACTTATATCGACGGCGATACCGCTCCGTGAGAAGGCTGCGGCCTCAATACTAATTAACGTCAATTATCATTTTTATCGGCGTATACCCGGAGTAAAAGTCGGTCGAGTAATCTTTCGACCGTGCCGCTTGCAACGTCAAATCGATGGGTATCGGCATTCTTAATTGAAATATCGATGCATAGCGAAGAAGGACACGCAGGTATTCCCGTAAACAGTTTCGAAATCGAAATGAAAAGAGAAAGCACGCGCGCTTTCCTGACCCGAAGAGGCCTTTGGAGATTCGTTCGCGAAAATGATATTGGTTTGTTATCGCGGCCGATCGATTTCGCTATGGGGCCGCAAGTCGAATCCGAACTCATTAAGGGAACCGAAGGATATTATTTAGACATTTACCGGTTAAGTTCGCTCGTCCCAATTTCATTTAACTTCGGTGGCCTATTTCTCAATAAAGTGGATCGCACCGTTCCGTATTGTACTTCAGAAGTCGCTAGACAACGACCCGATTTATTCGCGATCGATCATTCGCGTTCCAATGAATCACGATCCGATGATAAATTCGCGCGCCTTATCGCGGGTATGCCTTAATGGGAAGGCACAAAGTCCGCGACCGGCACGACTTCGGCCCAACTATTTTCCCGAACGCATATTTTCGTAATGCACTTAATGGCATCCGGTTGGGTAGCCGTGAAATGAAGAAGCGGCAATGGACCGCTCAGAGTACCGCCGAAAAGTTGCACGTGGACTTCGACAGCCATTGAAAACATTGTTTGCGCGACTCGGCGAGCGACGATAGAGGCTAGTGAAACTATGCCGCGCTCTGCAAAGTATCGCCAACATTGCCGTTTTGCGAAATATGTGAAACGCCTTTGAAATAATCAATTCTAACATGTGCAAATGTTAATAGAGGAAAGTCCTTAATCACAAACCTTTATTCGCAACGATTGCGCGATCTAGCAATGAATTTTCTCAACACTAAACGGATTTCACTCCAAGGACAATAAATTCACGACGAAACCAGTAGACGATGCCTATTATTAGGAGCCTATCTCACAATAGAGGACTCTTACCTCTACTCATTTCGAATTGTCTCCATAAAACACGAATTTTTTAAATAGGATAAAAGATATTGAACAATTTCAGATCATAATTGAATCCATTTAAATGGAATACACAGTCTATGCGGTTATATCGACTTGTTTAAATACCTTTGTTAAGAAACACAAGGTAAACTTTTGCTCGTGGTATTTTTATCTAAAACTCTGCGTCGTACAACAAACATGGTTTGCGCCGTAACAATAACGTCGTATCCCTGTTTACACAAACGTCAACAATTTGCAACAACTTGCACAGCGCCCCGTAAAAAAGGCAGCGCGTTCTCCGATAATCGAACGTTACATGGCCCCAGGTTTAATAAAGAGGCACCACGGGGTCGACGCGTTATGGTTCTCTCTTTCTCGGCCCGCCTCCTCATTCCGCTTGCCGTACTCTCGTGTTTTCATAACGCAGTCGGGGAATCCATTTGCCGAGACTATGTCAAATGCCGGACGAGGCGGAGGGAAAGAATAATGTACATTTCGGTAAATATTTGCACGGCGGGGTTTTAGCGAGCAATCTCTCCCGCTATTCTTCGCTCTCTATCTCTCTATTTCTCTCCTGCCCGAATGTATGTGTGCGTTGGGACTATACGCATTAGCCGCGCGCGGAATATTTGTTAGTTGGCACGACGATAAGGTCGCATTCCATCGCGCTGAGCCGCGGAGGTACATATCAGCATTCCGAGCACTCAAAAAGATAGCGCTTATCTCGCGGAGGGAGGGGGGCGAAGGTGTGATGCCGAGTGAGGGAAAAGAAAACAAAAATATACAAGAGAAATATATGCAGGGTGCATAAAAAATCTCGATCTAGCAGGATGGGGCGAGGGAGGAGAGCGAGGAAAACGGAGGGGGAGGGAGAGTTTGGGCGAGCGGATAACGTAATTGGATAATCCGCGGCAAACGCGGGACACCCACGAAACGTCTCGTTTAAACGTTTCCGGGCCAACGGCACCGTAAAAGTTGTCGGCCGCACGCGATAAATTCGCGAGTAATATTCTTTTGGGAGGTGAAATATCTTTTGTCGAAGCATTTCCTCCGCTCCGCGGTGGCTCTCGTATCTTGCAACGTAATAGCCTCGCGCTGTTCCGTACAGTCTGCTCTAATCGGCTAATAAATTCAAATGCGGCGTTGCGACGTGGATTAATATGTGACAGTCAAAAATTGGTATGTCAAGGCGACGAGACGCTTAATTGAAGCGGACAATTACGACCGAGGGGTAAATCGAGGGGTGTATGTGCTACCACAGACTTCTGTAGAATCTGTGTCAACTACAGTCTGAAAGTCGTCGATGTATAGAAACAATAAAGATTATGAAAATGTGTGTCCTAGTAAAACTGAGGTCCAGGCATTAATGAATAAGACTGTACACTAATGCCCTAGGCCTAATGCCCAGTAATGCCGCAAATCTGTACACCACAATGCCCTCGGTTTACCCCTCGGTTGCGACACAAAGAAATAAAAAGTATTGCCTGCGCGTCGTGGAAAAGTTGACAATTGTGGGACTTAAGATTGTTTGTTTGTAACCAATTAAATATCGTTATCAAATAGCGACCATACGAATTAAGCGATTTTGCGAAAGTTCTCAAGTGCGCCGTTGATTTAACTCGTTTTAAAGTTACGCGCAAAACTTGAGAGAGAGAGAGAGCTCGACTCCGCGCGATATCGCGGCCATCTCAGGTCAACAAATTATGACCGAATATTTTACTTTTTGATTGCTCATCCGCTCATTTATAAATTAAGCACTTAATAAAGTTATACATTTTCGCAAAATTCTATACGTCCTATTTCACATTTCGCAAGAGAGGCAGAATGTATTTGGTATCGGACAATGGAAATTTAATTGTTATTTATCACATTTTGATACTTGTAATATTATGTAAACACATGCTTCAATTAGTTTATTAATGAACGCAATAAATATTAATAATAATATCGATGATCGTTATCCGAGCTGCTAATAATTTCAATATAATGTAACTCGAGCTGCACAGAAAAAACGATATGGTTTGCCAGATGTCTAATTATGGTTACCACGTCCACAAAAATAGTAATATTTGGGACAGTTAGATCTGTGGTTGTCACATACACATTGACGTACACTGAGAGAAAAAAAAATAGTCATTTTTGGAGCCAACCATATTTTGGTTTATGACAACCAATATTGTGGTTATGAGAACTATCACATTGTTAGGTCAACCATAATTTACGTTGGAGGAATTATAAAAAATATGGTTGGCTCAAAAAATGACTATTTTTTTTGTAAAAATGACTATTTTTTCTCTCAGTGTAGTTACGGTGCCATAGTTGGCATCACTACATTGTATAGTTGGGACAACCATATAGAGAATTGATGCCGTTCGCGCCTCACGTAGCTGTCATAATTCGTGTTCGCTTCTACGTGAATTAGATGTGACACAAATGAAAATATCTAGCACACGAGTGTAGATTAGTTCACGGAGGAAAAGTTGTGGTTGTTAAGAAGTTATACTAGTAGTGTTATACCCTCTAACAAATTTTTGTGTGGACTTATTGGTAAAAAAAAAAGTGATAACCAGCGGAATCGCGCTATCACAAATCGCAAAAATAGTTGCACATGTTACTATTATATTAATTGAATGAAAACATCTTGTAAAGTTATACTCTTGTAACACAGTCTTGCCCGTAAGAAGTTGCCTCCCAAGTTATTATAATGTTGAGAGTTTTAGTTAGTCTACTTACATAGACAAGGGTCCGATAACTGTATCTGTATCAGTTCGCATAAATCTACTGCACTGACAGTGCAACCGATGCATTCTATGGCGAGATACTCGTTTGACGGGAGCTATTCTTACACAGTATACCGCGGGTATTATCGACTTCGAAACAAGTTACCATTGTTCGCGTTTATATCGGGGGAGGGAAGCCGTGTAGTTTGCGGCGTCCCGTAAAGTTCGCCGATAGTGTCGAAAATTTCCAAGACGGCTCCGCCCGCGGCTTCCCTAAAATAGCTGATTAAATTAATGAAGCAGAATATTCTGTTTCCCGTCGTCGTCGAACGACTGCCGCCTTCGAAACTCGCTCGCGACTACGCATTCGTGAGCTCCCTCGTACGCTCGTAGCTCGCTAAGTCAAACAACAAATATTGTTTCCGATACGAGATTATATCTCTACGATATTATTTTCAAGGAAATGTTTGCTCTGCCAGCAAAGCTCGCCCGTTTCTCCAAACACTTTTTCTTTCTTTTAAAACTCGCATTACCGTTTCATGCCGTGAAAGTTCGTAATACCTCGGCTCGATTGGCAAATAAATTGAGACGTCGATTAATTTCGAGCGATATCTCTTTCAAAATCTCTTGGGTTATTCCTCGTGTACTACATCTGTCGCGCATCGACGAGAGTTTTACTCTGGGAAAGCATCGTTTAAAGCGCGACGGTAATTCTCGATCAATTTCAATTACGGACGACAGACACGTTGATCGCGGCGGAAACGTCGTACGTGCGCGAGCAGCGTGATCGGCAGACACGGTAATTATAGAGGAAACACCCGTGAATAACATTCCGAGTCTGCCAGGATAATGCGCATCGACGGCTGTTTTCGATCCGGCAATTACCATTTCATTGCGCATCATACTTGTCAAAATTAATAACTGTGATATCGGATACGCGTGGCGCAAATTAGACGTAGACGCGGAGGGAGAGTGAAGCGCCGGAGGGTTGACATTAATTCAACAAGTTCTCCCTTACCTGTCCGGCTGGCGATTCGCGTGCTCCTCGTGGCCCTCTCGTCGTCCTTCCAGCCGCCGCCGCCGTCGTTCCGTCTCGATTCTTTTCTCTCGCCCACCTGTTCTCGATCGCCCTGCGTCGCCGACTCGCCGAACGACGTGCCTGGAATAAATTATTAATCGTATTCCGATCTGTCCTTGCACCTTTCGCCCCAATTGCCCAAGTTTCCGTGGAGCGCGAGTGCGCAGCCACTGCGACGGCGATTTAATTAAATGAATGCTCGACCGCGAACTGTCGATTAGACGAAAACGCCAATTGTTCGGACTCGCGGCGTCGATAGGGAACTACTGAATTGCGGCAGAAGATTACTTTCGCCAAGAAAAAAACCAACGATATTACACTGTCCGCCGCAATTCTGCGCGTTAATTTAATTATCGCGATTTATTATCGCAGTGCGATGAATTTATTGTCGGCTCGTAGAAGGATCGAACAATTTTCAGCGGGCTATGCCACTTAAGGGCGTTGCGTAAGAATCTCTCGCCGGAGTGAGAAAAAGACGAGGGCAGTCGTCGTAATAAATACTAGAATTAAATTTCTCTCTTGCATAAATCCGCATCCGTTCGAGAGCAACCATCTCGCCGGGCGGAAAAGCGAGAAAGGTAAGGAAGGTAGACAAGCATAATTATATTTTTGTTAAAACAGCCGGTGTTTTTTCGGGACGCGTAATGGTGGCGTTTTGAAAGTTGGCATAATTAAAAAGCGGCGTGCGCGACCGGAGGAGCGTGACCTACGCGGAATTACGCAGGCACGGCGTCGTTTATACGTATAATAGGCTCTTACGAAAAACGTATAACGCGAAACAGTTCGTGACTTGCCGAGCGTGCAAAAGAGTCGCGTTTCGTTTGCGGAGCTTTTGTCCGGGACACTTCATAAATTTGCGTTTGGGACACCGCGCGCGCGTGTGTACATGCGGGCGCGCGTAGCCGTTGGTTATTTAGATTAATTATTCTGGTTGCGGTTGTCAAAGCTGGGAGAATTATAAAAGCCACCGATTTATATCGCGGGTTGAATCTACGTTTTGCAAAAACGCATTCATACTCAAAGAACCGTGAAGCGAGCAGAAAAATGTAAGTATGTTTTTTTTTTAATATTCATCGCCGCTCCAACGTCGGGACATCGGGTCAGAGTAATGAACAAATACTAAAAGTTATCTCTTCAACAATGTAGAGGCGCTCATTGTCGCCCGCAATGAATAAAAATAAGTCGCAAACTTATAGTCGACCAAACTGGCAGGAGACCAAAATTACAGGTCCTTGTCATAGTTTCATACGAACCTCTCTTTGTCACGGACGTGGAGTTTCCTTTTGTAAAAATTGACCGTACACGGAGAGACCGATATGGTCACCACATGTCTAATTAGGGTTGGCACAACCCCAATAAATAGTAATATTTGGGACAGCTATATCCGTGCTTGTCATACCCATAAGTAGTGGGGACAACCACATGCGCCTTGTGCAGCAAACTTAGTGAACGTTGCAACACAAGACGGAGACCCTGTAATCAGAGACTGGCCATAAGAGTTCGTGAAATTCGTGCGTGTGAGATAGCCCACATTTCTCTCTTACTCGCAGGCACTTGACGAACTCTTATGGACAGTCTCTGATTACAGGATCTCTAACGCAAAACAATGTAGATGCCCCCCCCTATTTATATGGCAACATTTTAATTTTAGTTATTCTTGCCTTGGCCGGTCTTACCGTGTACCGAACGTGCGCACTGAGTGCACACTAGCGCGAGCAATCGAATTCGCTACTATGTCTCTTGCCAGTTTGGTCGACTATAAGTTTGCGTCTTATTTTTACCTCTACGAAATGGCCAATTTCGAGATAAAGGGGCTCTCCCGCTGTCTTGCGCTCCGATATCAATTGGCACCGTCTCGACTGTAGGTGTAGGTACACCGTGTTCATCATCGCTGCATACCTTATGGATATCCGCGTAACAGAATAACACGTAGGGACAATATATCGCGTGTTAAATCACCGCGAGTGCAGTCAGAGCGGGCTCGAATCGGGCGACGTAGGTACACACACGTGGGCTGCATTTCCGTCTCGGGGCAGAACGAGATCGAGATTTATCGTAGTCTACGTGGCGGAGCCGGCTAGAATTAATGCAGCGTCCCTCCCTCTCCAACCCCTCCGAGTCATTCTCCGCGGCCGAGGTACTTTATTCTTCGCGCCCGTCCGCCCGCGTTTTTTTCCCCCCGTCCGCCGTGCGTGCGTTCGATCGCCGTGCCAATGATTTAGCGTCGTTACGCAAGCGATTCTGCGATAACGGCCGCCGCGCTCGCGTGTAATACCGGCTGCCAATTGCTCGCAGCCTGAAAACGCCGTCGCGACGAACGTGGGATATTAAATCTCGACGTGGCCGTAACTTTATTACTTCGATACTTTGTTGCCGCGTCGGGGAGAAAAATACCGGGCACCGAACGGAGCGACTCGGTCGACTTTGAAACGCGGACGGTAGTGGAAAAAAAAGAGAGAAAAATTAAAATCCTTAAACTCTTTAAACCATTTACCATTGCAGATTGGTACTGCGGTACGTAACGCAAATAATGTAAACAGCACTGGAAAATTGAAATTAATTGCGAGATCGTTGCCAATCGAGATCGCACCGAAAGTGTCGGATTCAGACCCACGCGGAAAGAAAAGTGTAGCTACCGTAGCTGAAACCTGCATGTGGCACTTGGATTTCAGTAAAATATGCCCGAGTCGAAATTTTGGTACTATTTTGACACTTTTAAGGATAATTTGCACCTACTTAGCTGATCTATACACCCACACAGACCAGCAATGACCTACTTTGATGACATTATATTTTTTTACTCCTCCCTTGAATCTTTAATTCTAAAAATTTACTTTTCTACTTTAATGCTACATTGGCAAAAGTAGAAATTTCCGACACTATCAGTTTTTAAGTAGGAGTAAATTTGGTACTTGCAGTTCGACCTCTTTTACTGTCTTAGGTCCTACTGTATAATAGAATTGAAGGTTTAACGTAGGGCCAAAATTGCGACTCGGGTGAACAGCTACAATAATATTTAGGTACGACAACTAAATATTTTGCTACTGCGCCTATTGTATTAGGTGCGACAGCAAACCGTTTGCTGTGGCTTAAGAAATTTATACAATAATTATGGCAGCAGAATATTTTTAGCAAACCATGACTGGCTACGATAACGAAGTTTCTTTTTCCTTTCAGTACAAGAGTTCACGGTGTTATCGCGTTCCTGTAAACGCACGTAACGGCTGCTCGCGCGTGTAATTCATCGCCGATGCGTCACCACTTTCAAAGAAGAGTACGGCTCTTCTTTGCTAATGGAGTCATGGAGATTGACGTCCAAATGGCAATCGGCGATATTTCATTTCGATGATTCAGCCGCCGTGGAATTCGCCGGCCACGGGGTGGCAAAGCGATATACACATTGGGTGCACGAGGCTGCGCGTACATAGACACGTACACAGGGCGTCATTAATGTCTACCCATCTGAAGTTGCACGCGAATCGAGGTATGTACACGAGGAACATAGACTGATACAAATAGACTGCGCGTCCCGTGAGAAGAATTGAAGACTACATTAAAGTGAGAGAGAGAGCAGCCTGCGTGAGTGTGTCTTTGTCTAATATGCGTTGTTTTCTCCTCAATCTTAGCAAAGAGCGAAAGAGAAAGCATCACTCACGCGATATCTGTATCCTTCAGCGTAGTCTTCAGCACGCCCTAACTTACAGTTAGAAAGCAGTATCTCCCAAATTGTTAGCTTCACGAATTCGCGCACATGTAAACACATTTCTATATTTTGCACATACATACGTGGAAAATGTGTACGTGTTCCACATGTGTCTTATCTTATTTTATCATTATCATATCCCAGCAAGGGCTAACGTCCAAACTAATGTCCCAAAAAGTGCCCAGTAATCTGTACACCGCAGTGCCCTCGGCGGTTCACCCCCTCGGATACTACAACCCCGGTTATCGGATTTCACATCAAACATCAGCAGAGCAAACATCTGGCACGACAATGAGCGTCAAGCTTTTATTACCGCCGAATATATCACTTTTATATTCAAGATTGCTGCCTGTCTCTTGAGTAAAATGACCTCGCGTGCTTGTTAAATGAATGTACGGCAAATACCCCCGAAAACAAAGATTGAGAAACGTAGCGCGGCCAAGGAATGCGTATACGAGCGCGCGGTGATATTGTAGGAAAATATCAACATCGCGAGTAAAGTAGACCGTTGCTAACACCGGTAGTTGATAGCCATAAATCTTGGGGCTTTCGCAACGGACGGATTCGGAGCGACGTGATAACATCGGCACGGCGTACGTGCGTCTGTGTGCGCGGGAGAAGAAGATGCACCGTTTACCGCCGGCGCGCCCGCTCTCTTGGCCGATCTCTTGGCAAGCGCGGAGTCGAGCGTTTACACCGGCGCGAAAGAATGCGAGGCCGAGGAAAGATCGTCCCGTATGCGCCAGCGAGGAAGGTGAGGCCAATCTCGTCAGTCAGCTGAGCAAAGATTGACATCACCGCCGCGTGCCGGAGCGCTGATTCACGCGCGTTTATTCGGGAAGAAAGTGCTCGCGAGACCCGAGACAGGGAGATGGGATTTGAGTAGCCCCGAGACGCGGCAGTCCGTAGGTCCGTCGGTCTGTCAATTAAAATACCAGTCCGCTGCGGATTACGTCGGCTGCTGGCCCGAGCGTACGAGAGAGCGTGGCTCTTGTGTATTTGCGTAGCCGATTAGTGTCTATAGGCGCGCGAGAGCGCGGGCGAGCGGGACGAGACGCGCGTCGAGTCATCGGTGAATTTTGGCGCCGACGATTGTTTACGAATGTCGGCTGGCCATCGCGGACCATGTAACGACGAATCTCCCGGACATGGTACGCGCGTGAGAGAAATACCGTGAGAGTTTGTTTACCCATGTTAAATATAAACGCCAAATACAAATTTGTAATACGCGCGGCTGCCAATTGTTGTCGACGAACCGCCGACTTGGCGACTCCCAAGTCGCGAGATTCAAATGCGAAATCGATCAGCGAGAGATCCGCACCCGCGTCGAGATATCGAACGTTGCCCCTTTCACTTTTGCAACCTCCGACAAGCCGCT